GTTCAAACACCAAGCAACAAGCCCAACACTCGAGGCCCCCGTCACCCTCATAGGGGGGGCCTCCCTCTCTTAAGCAAGCAAGCCCCTTCTCCTCCACCACACCACCACCTAGTCTGGCAAGTCTAGGCTCTGGCCCCACCCTGCCATTGAGCCTTCAACCGGTCACACAGCGTCGTCGCCCACGTGCGTCGGGTCGAGGTCCCCTTCAAGTTCTTCGTCCTGTCGCCCCCCGACCCTAACCTTGACCCTTGCCCTAACCCTAACCCTAACCCTGAAACCGGCGCCCCTCACCAGCAAACTCAGAGGTGTTAACCAACTGAGCTACTGGGCTCCTCCCTAACCCTAACTTTTCAATAGTGTATTATTCGCTCCAACCCGAGGGTGAGGAATCTGCAGCTTGAAAGTTAAAAAAGTACATGCGTGTGAAGGAAGAAAGGTCCAAGAGGTCAGAGGGGGCACATGTGAGAGAGAGAGAAAGCCAAAGAAGAAGAAAAACAAAGAGGCCAAGGTGAAGAGAAGAGATCTGAAAGAACAGTAGAAACAAACTTAGACCAGATAACAGCTTAAAGGTATGAACACAACACAACAAAAAACAAATAGAAAACAAATGATGAGGCAACAGAAACAGACACTCATCCACCTCCCACTGAAGCTCCACTCTCTGTATCAGAGTCAACCCACCCAGATCTGTCTGGCTTTCCCGTCACTCCCTGAGTCTCCTTAGCCAGCCACCTGTTCCTCGATTCCCTAAACCCCTTGTTGCGCACTGGATCCCAGTGTGCACGCAGGGCTTCCCTAGCTTGCCGCCGCACCTGCGCCATCTGCATGCGAGTCCTCAAATCCGCCCTCCTATCATCCACTGTCCCTGCTTCCATCAAATAATCTGCCTCCTGTTCTGCTGTGGTCTCTGAAGCATCCACAAAGTCCCTCATTCCAGCGCATTCCACTCGAATCTTTGCAATCAGCCTAGCAAGCTTCATCCCCAGTTTCTTTGAAGCAACCCTCGTCTCCTGAGGGATCTTATCTGCATCATTGGCTGTGTATGGTGCCCAAAAAGTCAGAGTCTGCAGCAGCAGATCCAGCACTGTGATGTTCCCCCTCCCCTGCTCCAGGCTTGGGACGCACTCAGGGTGGTCCGCCTCCAGGAGGCGGCGCACACCTGAACACTCCAAGGCATGGTTCCTGTCCAGCTCAGCATCACACTTCTTGCACTGCTGGTGATAAGCCACACGGCCACCCATCCATGCCACAAGGCATCTCAACCACCTCCTGTTAAACATTGCACCAGAACGAACCACCTGGCAGGGCCCCCGGTGAGGGGGGACCACCAGGGGTGCTGCCACCCCAGTCAAGTTGGCCTTTTCCTTATACTTCTCAAGTGACACAGTGTGCATCTTCTGCATAGCGACAGCATCAATGTTCTTGGGCTCAGATCTGGTAACTTCAAGGTCATACGGATAAGTCCTGTGTCTGACAAACGGAATCTGTGCCAAGGCCTTCCGTGGCACTGACCCAAAATATAGATCCACATCCGGTGTGAACAGAGTGAGCCTGGTGAGGGATCCTGCAGGAGCCCGCCGCCCCCGCTCCGCCATGTGCCTGTACATGTGTGCAGTGGTGTTTCTCTGGTCCTGAGTGTGGTGCAGTCTGTAGAAATATCTCGCGTTCAACATCTTGTTGCGTGCAACCATTGGCACCACTCCAAAAATCAGATGCATTGCCACAGTGCTGGATGTTTTCCCAAAAGACAGAGCCTGGCGCAAACACATGTCCTGGACCTTCTGGGCAGGCGCCAAGAAGGCCTCTGAATTTGGCCTCAACGCAAACCCATACTCCAGCATGGGCCGCAGAAAGCACATGTACACCCTGTACGCATTCACAGGCCGGAATCCCCAGCCATTGAACCCTCGAGATTTCAGAAACTGAAGCATCTTCTCAGTCTTCTTCACCCTCATCTGCAGAGACGTCTCAAAGTCGATTCCGTTGCAATCACGCACAAGTCCCAACTGCAGTGTGGTCTTGTCCTGGGGAAGCACCACCCCATTCATCTGCAATCTCAAGTTTCGTGTCTTGGAAACAACAACACATTTCTGTGCTGCAAAGGTCATGCCCCGCCTCTGGGACCAGTTGTGGACTTCATCAAGCATATTCTGAAGGACAGCCTTGTCCCGCGCAAACACTGCAGAGTCATCAGCAAACAGCAGAGAGTTGATCTTCAATCCACCACATTGCAACTGGCTGTGGGGCACCCTGGAGAGCGCCTCAGGCAGCGAGTTGATGGCAACATTGAACAGCATCGGGGACAACACAGTTCCCTGTAGAAATCCCCGCGTCACTGGAATCTGATCAGACTTCTGGCCCATGACCAGAAGTTGGCACGCATTAAAGTCAAACAAGGATCTGAGAATCGGCAGCAACTGGTTCCTGGTAAACTCAGGACTCTTGTCATTCTTGGCATTCCAGATGGACTCCCACACATAATTCCTGTTTGTGCAATCATAGGCAGCCTTGATGTCCAAGTACACCACAGTCAGATCAGGGTACTCTTGCTGAAGCTCATGCAGAGTGAATGCCTGGTCCATGGTGGACCTGTGGCGCCTGAAACCACCCTGTGAGGGGTGGATCATTCCTTCAACCACTCTTTCCACCTGCGGGGCCAACACCCGCTCATACACCAGCCTCAGCCTTGAGCACAGAGAGATTGGCCTGTAGTTTGCCACATCAGTGTTCACCCCCTTGTTCTTGTACACCAGGGCCACATTCGCGATCCCCCAGAGTGTGGGAACCACCTGGAGGGCTGCAAGCAACTGGAAGAATCTCTGCAACACAGGAGCCACCACATGTGGGGCAATGCACACCAGTTCGCCAAACAGGGCATCCTCCCCTGGGGCTTTGCCCCGGGGTGCAATCTTGCAAGCCTCTTCCACAGCATTCTTCTTGATCCAGGCAACTTCAGATAGCTTCAGAGGCACCATGGGCCGTTCAGCACTGCAGGCAGCTAAGACATCCTGGTTGACGGCATCAGTACCAGTTGGCTCATGGCCAATGGTTCCCCTAAAGTGATCAGCATAGTCTGGAAGTTTCTGAGGGTCAAGGGCACAGTGAGTGCGCTCCACTCTGGATTTCTGACACTTGATTCTCTTGGCTTCAGCAGCAAAGTCCTTGACAGCTAAATCCTGCACGGCAGAGTACACCCTCTTCCTGAAGCGTTTGATGGCCACCTTTGTCAGCCGGTTCCACTGCCTGAACTTTGCCCAGGCGTCCTTCTGCCCGACAGGATCATCATCAGGGTGGGCTTCAGCCTCCATGCGGGACAGGTCCCGCCGGCGCTTCAGCTCCTCCAAATGCTTCTCCTCGACATCAGGGCCGCCTGCACCACCCCTAAACTTGGTCTTCCCAGCCACTTGGACACCAGTGTCAACAAGCCCCTTCACCACCAACTGAGATACAGAATCTGCACAGGCACGTCTGCGCTCAAAGGACCACTCCTCCTGAGCCACAGCAGCGGCATTCACAGTCTTCCATGCTGAGTGAATCTCTTGTCTCAAAGGCTTCCTGGTCTCTGCAAGTTTCTTCTCATACTGGACTTGTCTCAGCATCAGCCTGCGCACATTCAGTCTCTCAAAGGGTGGTTTCATGGTCAGGTGTGTTCGGAGCTCAAAGGTGAGCATCCTGTGGTCTGTGAAAGCCAGGTGGTCCTCAGGTTCGTCATGGACAACCAAGTTATGCACAGCTCCAAGTCCGGCTTGATTCACAAGGAGCAAGTCAGTGACTCCCCTGCCTACAGGGCCAGCAATTCTAGGTGAGAAAGTGGTCCACTGTCCCCGAACTGGCTCAACCCTGCTCCATCCTGAACCATCAATCCAAGCGCGCCACCAGTCCACCCTCAGCCTGGGCTGCGAGTGGGCACAGCCATACTCCTGCAGTGAAGTGTTGAAATCTCCAATGATCAGAAAGGGTGCCTGGGGATTAGCCCCTGCAATCCTGTCTGCTGTTGCTGAGAATGACTGAAGCACCTCCAAATCCGTCGAGGGTGCAAAGTACACCACTGCCATGATAATCTCCGACATCCTCGCAATGACCCACTCCCCCTTTGTGTCCTTCTCCAATGTCTGAACCACCAGGTCCTCCTCCATCCTCCTGCCCTTGTGAATGGACACCCCCTTCTTGCCCTTATGCCCAAGCCGCTCCTCAAACTCCAACGCCGGTCCCCTTGAGTCAGCCACCAATCCCCTCAACGGGTTATTCTCCACCACAGTGATCCCAGTGTCCGCCAACAAAATATAGTCTGAATGGAAATCTGAAAATGCTTGGTCTATGTTCTTGACATGTCCTGAGAGCGAGCAGTTCAAGTTCACAAATCCAAATCTAAGTCCATCAATCATCAAGCATAGCGTCGGCACCACCTAACCCTAACTTTTCAATAGTGTATTATTCGCTCCAACCCGAAGGTGAGGAATCTGCAGCTTGAAAGTTAAAAAAGTACATGCATATGAAGGAAAAGAAAGAAAGTCCAAGAGGTCAGAGGGGGCACATGTGAGAGAGAGAGAAAGCCAACGAAGAAGAAAAACAAAGAGGCCAAGGTGAAGAGAAGAGGTCTGAAAGAACAGTAGAACCAAACTTAAACCAGACAACAGCTTAAAACTATAAAGTCAACACCGTACCTAGGAGGGAGTCGAACCCTCGCCCCGACCTCAGAGGGCCACTTATTTTCTAGGCACCGTGAAACCTTGAGCATGCGTAGCACACCGGTAGCCGCTCTCATCAGTCACGCCGGTCAGTATAGTCTCCTTAGCTGTCCTTTTGGGGAGCGTCATTGGGGACATCACTCAACTTAACCGCGACGGCCCAGTACCACCAAGGTACCTTCCCGTTACTTGTGCTACCTCGCCTGGACTAGGTACGCCAACAATCCCTAGCCCAGACTAACCACCAGGGGGTATCCTTTGCCGGTGGCCAGGGTGTCCTTATCGGGTGGTTTTCAGTTGTGGTTCCCTGTTTCGTCCTTCCGGGAATCGAACCCGGGCCCCCCACTGTGCAGGTCAGCCGACTTAACCACTGTCCTACACACCTAACCCTAACTTTTCAATAGTGTATTATTCGCTCCAACCCGAGGGTGAGGAATCTGCAGCTTGAAAGTTAAAAAAGTACATGCATATGAAGGAGAAGAAAGAAAGTCCAAGAGATCGGAGGGGGCACATATGAGAGAGAAAGAGCCAAAGAAGAAGAAAAACAAAGAGGCCAAGGTGAAGAGAAGAAAGCTGAAAGAACAGAGGAAAAAGGCTGAAACCCCAATGGAGCAAATAAACACTATTGAAAAGCTAGGGCCTAACCCTAACTTTTCAATAGTGTATTATTCGCTCCAACCCGAAGGTGAGGAATCTGCAGCTTGAAAGTTAAAAAAGTACATGCATATGAAGGAGAAGAAAGAAAGTCCAAGAGGTCGGAGGGGGCACATGTGAGAGAGAGAGGGAAAGCCAAAGAAGAAGAAAGACAAAGAGGCCAAGGTGAAGAGAAGAAAGCAGAAAGAACAGTAGAAACAAACTTAAACCAGACAACAGCTGAAAACTATAAAGTCAACACCGTACCTAGGAGGGAGTCGAACCCTCGCCCCGACTTCAGAGGGCCACTTATTTTCTAGGCACCGTGAAACCTTGAGCATGCGTAGCACACCGGTAGCCGCTCTCATCAGTCACGCCGGTCAGTATAGTCTCCTTAGCTGTCCTTTCGGGGAGCGTCATTGGGGACATCACTCAACTTAACCGCGACGGCCCAGTACCACCAAGGTACCTTCCCGTTACTTGTGCTACCTCGCCTGGACTAGGTACGCCAACAATCCCTAGCCCAGACTAACCACCAGGGGGTATCCTTTGCCGGTGGCCAGGGTGTCCTTATCGGGTGGTTTTCAGTTGTGGTTCCCTGTTTCGTCCTTCCGGGAATCGAACCCGGGCCCCCACTGTGCAGGTCAGCCGACTTAACCCTAACCCTAACTCCTCAAGAAATTTATTATCTACTACAACTGTTTTGGTGATCGAATCCACCCTCACCGGCCCAATGATGAAGTGGAAACAACAGTTAGAGACCTGCTTCTAGGCCCGAATACGCCGGGTGCGGGCGTGAGGGAAAAAAGGGCGAACCTTGAAAAAACCCACACTAACACCCAACGAGGAACAGCCACCAACGGAAACTATGAGGCCCGACCCCCCCCCAAAGGGGGTGGTGGGAATGCGTAAGGCCCCCCTGCGCTGAGGGGGGGCCAAATCGAAGAAAGAAAAGCATAAGTCGAAGGGTAATGCAAAAGTCGACGAAAAAGCAGAAATCGAAGAATAAGCAAAGATCGAAGAGAAAGCGAAGATCGAAGAGGATACGAAGACTCAAGCAAGAGACGGAAAAACAAAGCGGAGGATAACAAGACTCAAAGGAAAGCCCATAACTCGAAGGGGAAAACAAAAGGCGAAGAAAAAGCAGAGAAGCGAAGAGAAAGCGAAGTTCAAAGAGGAAGCAATGAAGAAAAGCGAAGAACGGAAGAACGAAACCCAACTGAAGTGCGAGGGGCGGCGCCCTAAGGCGACGCCCGCAACCGAGGAACCGCGGGGCGGTGCACAGAGCACCGCCCCATCCGAAGCGAAGGGCGGCGCCGAAGGGCGCCGCCAGCCGAAACGGGCAGCGCCGCAAGGCGCCGCCCATCCGGAGTCCGAGGGGTGGCGTCACGGGACGCCACCCCAACCGAGGTGAGAACGATGGCGCCGCCAGCCGCCGTCCAATCCGAAGTGCGGGGGGTGGCGCACGGCGCCAACCCAACCGACGTGAAAGAACCGAAGCACGAAGGGTGGCGCCTCGCGGCGCCACCCCAGCCGAAATGCGAGGGGAGGCGCCGCGAGGCGCCGCCCCAACCGAACTGGGCGACGCCGCAAGGCGCCGTCCCAACCGAACTGGGTGGCGCCGCGAGGCGCCGCCCCATCTTGGAGCGCGAGGGGTGGCGCCGCGAGGCGCCACCCGATCCGACGGAGAAGCAAAAGACCTCGACTCTTGACATGGTAGGAAAAAGGATCGGGAGGGGTGACCCAACCCCCTCTCGACTTATGACCCACCGACTAGAGCGAGATCGCGCGTGTAGCGTAGCGTACCGAAGGGAGTGGCGAAGATCGAAGAGAAAACATGGGTGCGCAGGCACCCATCACGACGGGGGCAAGGGAGGACCGTCGCAGTACACCAAAACGCGCAACACCCAGCAGACCGCCGCTTACCTTCGCATCCCGGTACTGCTATTTTCCCAGGCCACTGCCGGGGGGAATCGCTTCCCATGCGATAGGCCTAGGGGCGGTCGCCGAGGGGGGGATCGTGGGGCAAACGATCGTAAAGCGTCCTGCTACTGCCATTTTCGCAGGCCAGCCGGGGGGATCGCATCCCACGCTTACGACTCGTCCTTCCCAGCGCCGCGATTGCGATCGCAGCGCTGTCGGGCGCCCCGCACGCCGGCGGGTTCGCCCAACACCACTCGCTGCCACCGTCGAAGGTGGCGGCGACGGCGGCCGCGGCGGCCTTGCAGCCACCCCGAATCCGCCACCCCCAAAAATTGCAAAGTTTTTCCTCTCCCCTAACCCTAACACCAGCCCAGCGTCCGCTGCCTCAGCAGCGCCACCTCCACCGGCAGTGTCGAGCTCCTCGTTGCAGACGAGGATGAAGAGATCGCGATCATTGTGACGGGGCCTTTTTTTTTTGCCTTAACGTAAAACTATAACAAAACGAAAATGCCAAAAAGGGACGCTGCGGGGACTCTGTGGGGACGCTGTGGTGAAATAAATAGACAAAAAAAATCAATTGTTGTGGGGGCTCTGTGGGGACGCTGTGGGGGCACTCTCTGTGGGACGCAGTGGGGATATAGTCTCTGTGGGGATGCTGTGGGGGCGCTCTCTGTCGGACGCAGTGAGGACATAGTTTTCTGCCCTCACGTAAAACCATAACAAAATGAAAAAAATGACAAAAAAAAATTACTGAAATTGGCAAACTCTGTGGGAACGCTGATGCGAGGGACTCTGTGGGAACGCTGATGAGAGGGCGCTCTCTGTGGGACGCAGTCGGGTCGAAAGACAAACTTGGACGCTCTGGTGAAGCGAAACCATAACAAAAAGAAAAAATGACAAAAAAAAAACAAATGCAGAAGACAAACTTGGATGCTGTGGGCAAACGGACTGATCGTCCCCAAACAGGCTGGATTGATATGTCTTGGAATTGGCTGGGCTTGCAGGCGACTGCGAGGACAGTCTCCACGAGCACAGTGCGGTAACCGCACTCTTCTTTGGTGTAGGCAATGACATGGTTTGCCCTGAAGCGAGATGCGCGGATGCACCTGTCAATGAGTGTTCACTTTCAAAGTGAAGGATTCGACAGTGGCAAAGTCCTTCGCGTGGAGAGTCCGACCAACAGCCTGGCGGCGCGACGGCAGCAGTTGTCGCTAAGCTCAGTTCAAGTCACCTGAGGGTAGCGGTGCTCGGAAAGGACGAAGCGCTGCTGCTTTTGTACATCGACGACGAGGGTGACTTTGTGCACCTCGAATCCGATACAGATGTGCGTGAGTCAGTTGAGATGGAGCGTGCCGTCGGTTGGGCGAGAGTGATACTATTGATCGATTCGCAACGGCAGATGGCACAAACAAGACGATTGTCTTGTATGGCTTCTGGTGAATCCGCTGGCGCAAGCATCTCCGGTAACACGACGGCCAGGTTTTCTTTGGCGTCGATAGGACTGATGGGAGCATCGGAAGAAAGCCTGGATGACAACAGGGCTCTTGCGTCGGGCGGAGCAGTCTCACTGTCGCTGACCCTCGTGGCAGTCCAGTCGCGTACAGACTCGAACACCGGACGGACGGGGAGGGGAAAGGGCGAGCCGTCGAAATTCGGGTCGCTCCTGGCACCCGTAGTTATCGCCTCTTTGGTAGCTCTTGTGTGCCCGTTCCTGTTGGGCTGCTGCTCACTCTGCTGACGAGCCACCTATGGATTGACTGCGGCGCGTTTCGTGAGAGCGCAGGTGCCACCGTTCTTCTTTTCCCATTTCCCCTTTACTCCTCGTTGCCCATTTCTTCGTCCAGCTTCGAGCGATAAGGCACATCCTTTCCCCTCACGATATCAGTTTATATAGAAAATGCCTGTCGAAGCCGCGAACCTGGCCGAGTATGTCGTGGACCTCGAATCGCAGCTTGCCCAGCTGCGCGAGATCGTGTTGGGGACTCCAGCCCAGTCGCCACCACCGCAGCAGCAGCAGCAGCAGGCCGTCCCCGCACCAGGGGCAAGAGCAGCGGAACCCGATGCAAAGATCACAAAGATGAGCGAGAACAACAGCAACAACAATGACGACGACGGTGTGCCTGCTGCTCCGGACGCTGGTAGCTGACTGCCCCCCTTCCAGCGACTCTGAAGTTGTTTTTCATGTCCTCACCGTCACGTTTTCCGCCCCGCGTCCCCAACTCCGTTTCCTTATCCTTCCCACATTATTCCCCTCACAACTACCCATGTCCTGCTGCGACGACGCGGTTTTTGATTCGCTCCGGGCGCCATTCATCACAATCAGACAAGGAGCTCCTGTCTAAACTAACAACAGAAAGGTATGTGAGACTTGGGGGTGGCAATCATTGGCTTGGCGGTCGCAGGTGCGGCAGCCCATGAAGGTTCCACGGCGGAGGGAGTGGCTGCGGTCGTGGCGGACCACCAGGCTTTGGCAGGCGCAGCGGGCGAGGCGGTCATGGTGGGCTGCCGCTGATGGGCGTGGATGAGACCAAAGTTTGCTGACATCGGACAGCGCTGTACTTCTTTTCTCTTTTTTTCTTTTCTTTCATTCATTGTCTTTTTGTCTCTATCACAGACACCAGATACCCGACCAAGCCGCCGCCAGCACCACCGCCTCTTTGCCGCCACCGCCGCCGCCATCGACCACACGGAGAACCAGCCAGGACGGCACCGTCTGGCTCGCATCCTCGTCATCATTGTCATTGCCGTCCGCGTTCCAGGCCAGCTCTCCCACACGTGCACGCTGGCTCCATCAAACAAAGGCGCGCATACCTGAATCCATGTCTGGAT